CTGAAGCTGTTTTGCTACTGGTATATTGTGTTTTCCCTTGTATCATCATGGAACTGTGGGTATTTGGTAAACTGGATATTTGAGTGTTCATGAAGGCTGAGTATTCATGAATTGAATCGATCGATTTGACTCAGCCTTACATAGAAAGTGAATTGCTACCAATTATTACCTGTACTGCAGGGCTTCATTTTAAAGGAGCGTGATCGCGCTCGCGCTCCTTAATGTTTTCCAAGGAGAGCAAAAAAAGGGCGCTCCTTAAAAATTGAAGGAGTGCATGGTTTTTTCAATCCGGCAAATGTTGATTTATGACAAGCCCCTTGAATCTCGTTGGGTCAACAGTAGCAAACGAGTACAAAAATTGAAAGTATTAAACACAAGGGCTGGTGATCAAAGTCTTTGAGTTGTGAGCGCGTGCTTGATGAATCCCGCATCGCAACACACAAACGTGATAGCACATGTGGGCGGGCCTAGTGTGTGTGGGCGAGCCTATGGAATTCCATGGCTGCGCATGGCCGCGCCCGGCCGACCTCTCTCCCAGAATGGGTCGAGTTCAAGCGCTACGTTCTCGGGCGTTTGTGAACAGCAGAAGTGAGTTTGTGAAAAACCCTGTAGTGGCTGGAGGATGGTGTGTGATTCTGTTGCGTGTTCGTGTGGTTCAAGCGTGAGAACAACGTTCGCTTGGCGAGAACCGAAAGTATGCCACAGGAAAGAAAAAAGTCTCTGGCGGGTAATGTGCCCGGTGTTCTAAACGAAAATGCACTGGTCAAAGTAGTATTGTGAGCGCAGGAAGGGGTGATGAATACAATCTGCAGTGGATGTGCAATACGTTTTAAAATACCAAAAAGAAGGGATGCACATGCGCAGTAAATTCAGAGCCCCTGTAGCAGTGAAATGGATTGTCAGGCGAGCAAGGAGACTAGTCAAGTTATGCACCCACATCCTCCAAACCAATGTACGATGAAAGACTACATGAAGGACCCACATGCACGCCCACGAACATGCATTAGATGCCGTGGATTGAGCGAGTTCGCGCACAGAGCGAGTTCTAACGGGAGCGTCATTGGAGGCAGATTTTCGATAAAATTTTCTGCAAATACGTTAACCATGGACATGTTTACCGATTCGTAACCACGGCGTTGACTGATTTTTGGCATGAGGAACATTTGGAGGAAATTTCAGTAAGCTCTGTCAGGTAAAAAAAGTGGGAAAAATGCGATCTGCAAATTTTCACTATGGCCGGGACAAAAATTTTATAACCGGGATGTTGGTCGCAATGTAATGAAGACGTCGTCCTAGTATATTATCGTAAGTATATTACGATCGTAAGTAAATATGTTATCGTAGTATATTAATATACTACCCTGGCTGTATGAATGACTTATTATGTAGGTCCATGGAGTTCATGACTTTTCCCTCACAGGTTGAGGTGCAAGCTGTTCAGGGGACTGCAAGTGTTCCTTTAAAGGGACCTTCTAGGATGAGCAGTAACTGAGTAGATTCACTTGTATTTTGAAGTCTCCACACAAACGAGACTGACCTTTTTACTCTGAATGAGGTGCAGACACTGTGCAGGCATGGACTGCACATACAGGTAGGCATGTGGGGTGTGTTGACCTGGGTACAAATGCGCTTGCCCTGGCCCTTGCATAGCATTATCATTCAACCATGCTTTTCCAATGGGCTCTGGTCCCAGAAGGGAGGCCAGGGGACTGTGATATGTAATGACCAAGATAGGCTTAGCAGTGAGCAAGCATTGCTTTCCTATGGATCTTCACACGTGATTAAATATTCATCAATTTCATGGCTTCAGTCTGCTGAATGGCCTTTAAACATACACGTTCATCGCTTCTGTCTTATTCGTGAACGTTTATTAAGACAGATTTCTTCACTTCCGTCTTGTTTTTATTTTGACTGATCCAGTATTGTCACTTTACCCTAACCCTTCCCCCCCCAAGCATTCTGCACAAGTCGGTGGATGTTTGTGCAGACATTTGATAGGAATTAAAAGAGGGTTTGACAAAAGTTGTAAATGGAAATCGTTAAATACAGAACAAGATTCAGGGAGTGTATTTTTCGTGAACATGCGTAGAAATGCTCTTTTTGATGAAGATCAAGGGGTAGAAAAAGCTATTAAATTTACTCTGTGAAGCACTCAACAAAAGAGCTATGTGTGTAGAGATGAAACGGGCACCATCTTGTGGATGTTTTTGGTTGCATATTTGAATTATTTTCTGAACTGCAAAGCAAGTTGAATATGTTAAACCTTAGCAGTATAATAGTGCAAAGACAGTATTCATTTTTTCATATTCCCTTAGGGTTCAGGGTTGAGATGTATTTGAAAGGCAATATTTAAGTGTTTATGGAATGAAACAGGAACATTGAGAGTCTATAACAGGCATATTTTTCAAGCTTACAAACCCAAAAAGGACTACCCTTGATTTCCTTGGCCCAGATGCAAACTTGCATAAATTTATGCATGGCAACCTGCTCCGCATTAACCCACATTCATGTTGCCTTCAGTTGCACAGTCTTGACTGCCCAGCCTGGATGGCGTCACCGCCCACGTACATTGTATCCACACACGCCGTGTACTGTTGCAGGCACATTGTACATCTCGCCTCTATTTACAATACATGTATGCATGAGATCCTGATGTGGGGCCGGCATTGTGCATGGCTGGGATTTTGGCTTCGCAGACAGTTGGTTGCGGTCACCAGAGAGACATTAAGTCACGCCCCTCTTCCAATAGAAACGTGCGACAATGAAAGATACGTGTATGGCTATTCTTAGAAATTTTTAAGCAACTTTTGGCTCCTCGTAGTTGTTTAATAAGCAAATGTTCAAAGAATACAGGGAAAAAAGAAAGAAAATTTGTGCTTCATGCTTGAGGTTTTCTCTTCAAAATCATTTGTAGTCTTCTTATATTGGATTGTTCTATAGCAGTAATTCACCTGTCGTTAGGAATCATTGGTAATTCAATTCAATTTGAATGTGTTGATTAGTCAACAAATCATGGCAGAAAACTGAATTTGTATTGTAAAATAGCTCACAGTTGATACAAATGACATCATTTTCCTTCAGTTAATTTGTTTTTAATCTGTACTTGTCTGATTGCTATTTTAATGGGTTCTTTTCAATGATGCATGTGTGCTGTAAATTTACATCTACTGTACAACTCTGTTGCAGAAAATGTTCTTTCCCCCACTCCTTTCCCCTAGAAAGGCCCCTCAGCAAACCGATCTGAGAGGCTGCCAACACATTGGGGCTATCCCCACAAGTGTTAGCTGTCCTGGGATGTTGGTGCTCCTTACACACTTTTCCCCTACCCAGTAAAATAGCACACATCACAAGATTCTGTTCGCAAGAAATAATCGTGGCAGTGTGAATGTTAATGGGCATAGGACGAATGTGAGTTGAGTATTTTAGCTCTGAAATTTTTTTTTCAGGGTAAACCAGGTATCACCAGATTGTCTTCAATTGTTCATGGAATTTTTAACAAATAGTGTGTATCAGTCATGCTAATTGCATCGGCAGAGTGTTAGTAAGGTTGCACTAGGGTTTTCAAACTTACTGTCAAAATATAAATTTGCACCCCAGTCTGTAGAAAATTAAGCAGTAGTTCAATACATGTACCACTTGTGTGAATATTGACAGTTCACAGGGACATGGATGTCCTAATTTCATGAAAATGGGTGTCAAAATGTGTGTAAGACATGAGCAGAAAAACTCAGGAAGGCTTGGCAAACAGTACGGTAGTTTGTGTTGGTGATGGAGATTATTTATTTTCTTACCGTGGAATGCTTTAGTGTTCCCAACCTCAAAAAGCCCTTTAAATCTGTCTGCTGCAACCCATCGAGGTAACATTGTTTATAAGGGACAGTTGGAACTAAAAAGTTTTTAGGGCAAATGCATTTTGTTTTAGTTGATCGATAGTTTCACAGGTTACAGGCAGCAAAGGCCAAGAGATCGGTTCATTGGTCAAGAATCCAGAATGTTTGTTGTCAAGGGGAAGCCTCATACATGTACTACTTCCAGTGGGAAATGTAGCATATCAGCTTTGTCCCATGTTTACACATGCGTAGATCTGTTTTGTGTAATGACATTCTCCAGATTCAAAATTCTGTCATTAGAAAACGTGGTGTTTTGTTAGTGTCTGCCCCGCAACCCAGGTTGCCTTCAGTTCACCCTCAAAATCCATTCCCAATGCTTGTACATGTACATTTGAACTTGATTATTTCTTTGGTTGGAAACTATTAGTTACCTGTACTGAGTCTATACCAATCCATCATATTTCCATGAAGAAGACAGGAAGATTAATCACAGACCAATTCAAATGAAAACTAGCTCATTTCACTGTATTCACAGGTAAATTTTGTGTAACCGTTTTAATCTTTCATTTTCCCGTTTATCATATAATGGGATTAGTTTGCGTATATATGGTTTACTTGATCATGTTGCGGTCAGGATTTGGTTGAAAGTCGGCCAGCTGATCGCATGATATGACTTTATTGGTAGAGTTATTGCTATAAATCAAGTAGCCTTATACTTTCACAAAGTAGATGCATGAGGTAATGTACATGCCTATTTTGCAACGTCATTCACTTAATTGTCCTAACACAGGGGTCGAAATTAACGGTGGTCCGCTGGCCCGGGGCCACCAAAAAATTCATCAGGCCACTGCATTCTCTCAAAATGATGGCCCGGCAGGACAGTGGTCATTTGAGGATTATTGCCACATTTTAAAAGCTTTCATCACATCTTACAACTTGTGTTTCAAACCACCAGCGCAACACTTTTGATTTCATGGTGTAATTCCACAGTCCACGCGGCCGTGGTTGTTTGCCACACATAGTGGTGCGACATTCTGTTCACTGCACGGTCGTGCGTACAGCTCATACATGTGCGGGACCTGCCCTGGTACCGTGTGTTGGCTGGTATCATTTTCTTGTGTATTTGCAACATTTGTCATGCATCACTCGTTTTTCTTTTGCCCCCGTTAGCCAAAACCAACAAAAGGCAAGATGCGAATCCACTGCCTGGAAAATGTGGACAAAGCCCTCCAGTTCCTGAAGGAAAAGAGGGTTCACCTGGAGAACATGGGATCCCACGACATCACAGACGGCAACCACCGCCTGACCCTAGGTCTTATCTGGACCATCATTCTCCGCTTCCAGGTGAGTGAAGACTGATACCAGTCTGTGCTCGGTGTTTTGCTTCACGTTGCTACAAAAAGTGTACATTGCATTACGTACCTGTACAACGAATCTCATTTGAACATAATTTTGTTTTGTGCAAAACTTAGTCTTGAACGGCATCACTTGAACAAGTTGATCCCATAGCTTTTTTCAATTTTGTGTGTGTTGTTTTTATTGTTGCAGGATTTGTGAACTCCGTTAGCTAAACTAACTTGCATGTCTTTTCAATTAGGTTTCCTTTGTACATTTGAGGCTTTGGTCAAATATCTTTTCTGTTGCGTATAAAGCACCGAGTAATCTGAATTGTGTCCCTCATCTTGCCAGATCCAAGACATCAGCTTTGAGGACGAGGACAACCAGGAGACACGCTCGGCCAAGGATGCCCTGCTACTGTGGTGCCAGATGAAGACGGCCGGCTATGCCAATGTCAACATTCGCAACTTCACCACCAGCTGGCGGGACGGCCTGGCCTTCAACGCGCTTATCCACAAGCACCGACCTGACCTGATCCAGTACGAGAAGCTGACCAAGTCCAACCCCATCCACAACCTGAACAATGCCTTCAACGTGGCCGAGCAGAAGCTGGACCTGTCCAAGCTCCTGGACCCAGAAGGTCAGTGGGGGATTAGGCTTTTCTGTTCTTATCATCAGTTCCTTCCTTTCTTCCTTTTGTTTACAATGGATGATTCCATCTATGAGCTCATGAACTTTATGGACCAACCTACTCTTGTTGTCTCCCTGAAGAGGACCTTTTGAGGGCAGTCAGAGAAGTTTTGTCAAATGTTGAGTCTACACTCAGGTCGTTCTGAGGCCTACATGTAGATATGTGAAAGGGTTTGTCCAAAGTGTCTTTGCAAACCTTGTTCTCCTTGGGAGTGAGGTTGGCGTTGTGGTTCCTTCTTCGCCTTCCACCTCTGCAGTCCGGGTTCGGATCCCAGCCCGGTGCACATGTAGATTGGGTTTTCAGTTCCTACCTGATTCCGTGGGTTTTACCCAGAATGTTCCTCTGGGGTTTTCGTCCCACCTCTAAAACTGTAACAGCTTCTCATTGTCTCCTCTCTACAGGTTTCTTCAGGCTGGCTAGCTACAGTGCCTAGGGTACTTTTGTGGAATCCATTTTGTCATTACCAGAAATGATTAATAATAATTAACAATTACCAAATTCCACTATGCCTATCCCCAAGTCTCATTTTAAGTTGTGCTTTTCTTTCATTGAGGACTTACTCTTGGCAAAGGCTTACACTTAACAGATACCTTAGCAATTTTTCAGTTTTTAGGATAAACATTGGTCCATCAAAAGGTTTGCACTTTGACAAGACTCAACTTTGACAAGATACAGCGATATCCACCCGTAGGGTTCCCCAAACCAGACAGGATTCTATTGTCGTACTGTTTGTTGGGGAATTACTGTTAGATTGCCGAAGCATGGTGAACGTTGTTGTCAAGACCAACTTCATCCTTGGTTTTCATTTCCCCACCAGATATCAATGTTGACCACCCTGACGAGAAGTCTATCATCACCTATGTGGTCACCTACTACCACTGCTTCTCCAAGATGAAGCAGGAGACGGTGTCCAGCAAGCGAATCGGCAAGGTCATTGCCACAGCCATTGAGAACGACAAGCTGATCACGGAGTACGACAAGATCACCTCGGAGCTGCTCCAGTGGATTGAGCAGACCATCATGATCCTCAACGACCGCACCTTCTCCAACAGCCTACAAGGTCTCCAACAGCAGCTCTTGGCATTCAGCACATACCGAACTGTGGAAAAACCTCCCAAGTAAGTCGTGCTCTCTCTAGAGGACTCGTCTCCATACATATCATCAGATTCTCACAGCACTTCCTGAAAGAGCAGTCGCTGTGCTTATCTGATCCTGACTATGCCAGTCCAACAAGATTCTGTACGATTTATATTTGACATGGAGGTGTCAGGGCTACTGCAGATCAGGAACCTGAAATGAATCGTTCAGTTGGGTAGTTGACTCAGTGGATTGTCCCTTTTGCATTGAATCTGTCTGTCGGAACTTTGATACAAATGGGGCGGTTTTAAAAGTATATGCGACAGTTATTACACCAATTTTGACAGACGCAAGCAAGTTTAGCCTTTCTGTGTCTTGGTACATGACTTTACCAAAGGCTTAATTACCTTCCACTGATCTTTAAGGCGTGTCCTATAAATATATATAGATCCTGCTGAGTATATCACTTGTTCGACCCTGTAAGATACATTGTAAAAACAGTTAGTATTCATCAAACTTTTAGAGATCTTCCCAGTTTCTAAAAAAAAATTGGCTATAAGTAACTTTCTTGTGCTGTCAGAATTGTTTGGAACCAGAGGCGGCAGATTGCTTATAATGGTTTTGTGAACTTTTGTGTCGTAGCATTGACGATTGCCATTTGCATTTTTGTAGGTTTGTTGAGAAAGGCAACTTGGAGGTACTCCTGTTCACCATCCAGAGTAAGATGAGGGCCAACAACCAGAGGCCATTCACCCCAAAAGAAGGCAAAATGGTCCATGACATCAACAAGGTCAGGCTTAATAACAGTGAATGTGCTTTGACCTCTTTTCACCCTTTAGAAACGTTTTGGTGAGGTACATGTTGGCAAAACTTGGTGGGAACGAGATTAATTTTCTTATTCAAGTCTAAGATATTACTCACTTGCACAGAAGGAAATGGGGAATGATAAACTGTCATGGACTCGTGAAAAAAAATTGGACTTTGTTTTGTCTCCTGCAGAGCTCGAGAAATGTGGTTTAATGAGAAAATAACAGTTTTGTAAAGTCAGCCAATATTTTTATAAATGATAACACCAGTGACTACAAACACATCAGTCTTTGTATCTCAGAGCTTCATTTGAGCTTTGGTGTGCTTGATGTTGAGGTTTTAATGCCTGAAAGGTTTCACTTTGTAAAAACAGAGATCGTGAAGTTCGAGTGGAAGGGATTCCTTTTGAACTTAGCAGAATAGAAATCATTGCATTTATAAATGGCAGGATTTCAAGATTGTCCTGAACTTAAGTCACTCAATTCCACCTTCCCCTCCCTTACCTCAGGCCTGGGAGAGGCTGGAGCGGGCCGAGCACGAGCGGGAGCTGGCCCTGCGGCAGGAGCTGATCCGCCAGGAGAAGCTGGAGCAGCTGGCCGCCCGCTTCGACCGCAAGGCCGCCATGCGGGAGACCTGGCTGAGCGAGAACCAGCGGCTGGTGGCCCAGGACAACTTTGGCTACGACCTTCCGGCTGTGGAGGCAGCAGCCAAGAAGCACGAGGCCATCGAGACGGATATCTACGCCTACCAGGAGCGGGTGCTGGCCGTGGTGGCCGTGGCCCAGGAGCTGGAGGAGGAACGCTACCACGACATTGAGAGGATCGTAGCGAGGTATGCTGGACGGCCAAGTCCAGTGTCTGAACCATAGAGCTATAGTAAATCATCAAGATTGCTAGTCAGAACTATAGAGCTGTATTAAATCACTGAGAGTGCTAACTCTGTGTGCAAAGAGACACCTGTTGGGTGTATCCCTGTTTGTCCACCATCCCACAGAAAACTCAAAAATTGTATACAGTGTTTGTACAGCTATTTGCATATATCCTTGTCTGTGTTTTTAAACAGTACGTCGCCTAAGCCAAACACCAAATGCACAATCAGTAAATGAGTATTTTGTTTCTCTGTCTCGAAACAACACCAACACACATTTGTGCTACAGATCATTTTTGCCGAGTCTGTTCGATGCGTCACACACTGCTGGTAGGGTATGCACATACATGTTCTTTGCTTGTGTTCCATTTGCACTTTGCATTTACAGCACATCATTGGACATGTTTTTCCATCGTCTTTCCTCATATTCTACAAGCACACACAAACAGTACAGTGTGACACAAGCAGTGTGGTAGCCCTTCAAACTTAAGTTTATGTTAGCAGGCCAAGGCTAAAAAAACCACTCGTGTTGTCTTTCCATTTACAGGAAAGACAATGTGCTGAGGTTGTGGGACTACCTAATTGAGCTGTTGAAGGGTCGCCGGACTCGTCTTGACCTGTCGTTGGAGATTCAGAGAATCTTCCAAGAGATGCTGCTGCTTCTAGATTCTATGGATGAGACAAAGGTACGCCGGAATAATTGAAAGAAATACTCTTTGTATCAGTCTAGGGTCTTTTTTGGCATAATCTCAATATGGACCAGGATTATCTTGCAGCAATTTTCAAACCAAACTCTGGAAAATGTGCAACCATCTTGAGGAATGATGTATTCCTCAATTTGAGATTTTGGTCGGATGTTTTTGTTTCCAACATCGTACTCCCTGCCCGTGCCACTTTCATGCGCACTGCTCCAGATACGAATACTACGTTACAAGTGTACGCTCATTTTGCATTAAAATTGCATTAGCTCGTCACTTTCATATGTAGCCTGAAACCTCTTGGAAGACACCAGTTACATTCATGTCATGTTCTCGCCTTCCACAGATCCTCCTGTTGTCAGAAGACCTGGGCAAACATCTGATCGGTGTGGAAGACCTGATCCAGAAGCATGCCCTCCTGGAAGCTGACGTGGCAGGCTATGGGGACCGAGTCAGCACCGTCAACCACCAGGCCTCCAAGTTCATGGACCCCAAGGGGCCCGATGGATCTGGTATGTACTGGGTGCAGAGGGGACCACCTGTTCCTGTAGCATTGCTTGCAATTTGGAAGTGCTGTGTGGTCATGATACAGTTACATTGCCATTTCTTTAGTATTGGAAAACAACTTGAAATGTGCTTTTAATTTTCACAAAGTAAACTGAAATTGTGTCCTTGCTTTTCCCAATTTGACTAAAACAGGTCAGTTTTGTTTACTTAGCATGAAAGCAAAAACAACAGATACAACTTTGTGGTGTCCTACTGTGAGTTTGTGAAAGCTAAATACATTTCAGCTCAAGCCAATTTTGCTGCAAACATTTTATGAGGTCAGATTCACTTTTCTTTTGCATTCGCCTGAAGTATGAACTGGCCTCACGAAGTTGCTTGTTTGTGCAGAACCATTTGAATAGCCGTTTGGGAGAAAACCAGAACGCGCCTCTCAGCTACGTCATTGGAAAGCAACGCCAAGCTCTTTCAAAGCAGCGCACACTGAGGTGTGCAGGACTTAATTGGGACAGGCCATCAAGAGGTCCAAAAGCCAAGCTTGGCCTGGCTTTTCTGTGGTGCAGCCACACCGCTAGTTCTAGGTTTGCTCCCTTAACCCTAACCCTCCTCAGTCCTCCAAAATCCTGAGCGGTTTTGGAGGATTTTGAAGGATTGAGGGTGAATAGCAGAAGTTCATGGCTGATTGCAAAGGATGCCATGTGTGAAGGTCGTGGATTAGACCTTGTGTGTTTTGCTTAGTCAAACACAAATTCAGCCCAATATTTCTTTTGAATCAACCGCACAGCTCAAGAATGCCATTCGTACGGCCTCAACATAATGACAGGAATTGGCAGAGGATTTTGAAGGATTGAGGGAGTAGGCACACCTCCAAAAAAACATTTTAAAGAAATTTTGGAGGATTTTGGAGGATTGAGGCTCAATGCAATTTTTTCATGTCAAAAATCAGAGGATTTTGGAGAATTGAGGATGGTTCCTAGTGAAAAGGCCTAGGGGCTTAGGGTTAATTCATTTCCAATTGCAACAGTACACACTGGTCAGATACCCTTAAAATTGATTTGCCAGATGGAATTAACAACGTCATTCTACATCTCCCCTACCCAGGCTACCTGCCAGTTGACCCCCAGGTTGTGGCGGACCGCATGACCCACCTGGAGGAGAGCTACCAGGAGCTGTTGGAGCTAGCCCGGCGCCGCCAGGACAAGCTGGGCGAGTCGCGCGAGCTCTGGCAATTCTTCTGGGACCTGGCCGACGACGAGAACATGATCAAGGAGCAGGCCCAGATCATGTCCTCCCAGGACATTGGGCACGACCTAACAAGTATCAACCTGCTCATCAAGAAACACAAGGTGGGTTATCTGGTCATAGGTGTGGGTCGTGTATCTTTGCTGAAAGAATCCTAATAGAAGAGTGATTTTCAGGCGCTCTGGATGCTGTCTGAGGTTTTTAAAAATTGCCTCCCTGCAAAGTGCTGAAAACCAAACTGGTGTATCAATCAGGGATGAGATGGGTCAGAACCTTTCCTTCAGGAGTTTTCCTATCAGGATATTCATGACATGGGGATTTTTTCAATTGCTAAGATTTTGAAAATCTAAAGTTTACCATTAAAGTGCTTGTATGTGTGAAAGTGAATAGAGGACACGAGAAGTAGGTATTTTAAGAGTTACCTTCAGGCAAATGCAAATCTATACCATAGACCTTGTGCTGCTGTAGGGCCCGCAAAACCTCTGGTGATTATTTTGGGGATATTGAGGATTGTCCTCTAGTGGCACCCTTCATCATTTCGGAAGGGATGGGGTTGAGGGGAGAGTTCAAATTTTGACTTCAAACAGAAAGGAATTTAGTACCCTTGCATATTAGTGCAGTTAAGGCAGAATCAGTACTGTAATTGGTTAAAATGAATCGGCAAATATTTCAGCTCTCAAGTGTGGGTTCATGGACAGTAACAAAGCGCAGTCGCTGTTTGGTTGGGTGTAACACTCTCCTAAAAGTGAGAAAAAAAGGGAAAAATCATTGTTTTGTGGCAAATCTGTCAAAACATTTTTGTTATAATTTGTGATTGAACCCAGCCCGTACCTATTCTTAAGGTACCCTGAGATGTGTGGGGCAAAAGCATTGCTGCGGTTAGGCTGCCTCCTCTCTCAAGGATGTTGCTTTTTGTAATGTACACCTTAGGCTGTGTTCTAGATAATGAGAGGGGTGTTTTCTAGGAGCCAACAAGCTCTTTTGAAGCACCTGTAGATGCCAGATACCACTTCAGCTGCACAGAGTACCAAAGTGTGACATCATTTTGAACCAGGAAGTGTAGTCTTGACAAATGAAATCCACTAGCGTGTTGGTTCATGCCGCTTGTTCTCACGTTAATGCCTGTTACACGCATAATTGTGCGCGTGACATAATTTGCTTCAGTACTCTCTATCCCTTTCATCTGTTGCTTGTGCTCAGGCTCAAGAGGACGAGCTGGTGGGTCGTCATGCCCAGCTGATGGCCAACATCAAGGTGGGTGAAGACCTGATTGCCAAGGAGCACTTTGGAGCGCCCCAGATCCAGTCTCGCATTGACAAGGTCAAGGACGACTGGTCACGCCTGGAGGAACTCTGCAAACAGCGCAAGGACCGCCTCAATGAAGCTCAAGACATGTACCAGGTAACTACCACCACCCCTACGTCCCTACTCTGCCTCTCATCAAAGATTTAGTATTTTGCATTTCAGAGATTTTGCCACTGTTTGTTTCTGAATTTCAAAACCTCTCCATGTTGAATTTCCTGAAGTAATTTTCTGTTGAACAGAAAGGGCTGTGGACTGTAAAATAACCATCTAAATGCTGCTTTGCACCAAATGTCTTGTTCTTCTAAATTGAACTGCGCTCTGAGACATTTCTATGCTCGAGAAGGGTTAAACTTTGACATGCTCTACAACAGCTCCATTTTTTTGTACTTGATTGTAATCACATGCATGCCTCTGTCTGTCATCCACAGTTCTTCGCTGACGCCGACGATGTTGACACCTGGATGCTGGATACACTGCGTCTAGTGTCCAGTGAGGACGTTGGACGCGATGAGCCCAGTGTGGAGTCTCTCCTTAAGAAGCACAAGGTACCACATTCTGTCAGGTTTTTATCAGAGTCCAGACCACCTAAAATTGGCCACAGGGCTATATTTTTACCGTCAGAAATAACTGATCAAGCTCCTATTACTGTGCATGTTTATGAAAGTATATCTTTCTCCTATTCTTCCAGATGAATGTCACAGTTTTTTGAAGTATGTATTATAATAACCAATCAGTTTTTTCCACTTCTTTCCGCCGTTTCTATCTGAAACCTGTTATTACCTGATGACTTCCTCATTTATGTTCAAATGTAGTTGGCACGCTATCTTTGGCGTGAGTGGTATAGTTGTGATCTGCTCCGACAACATAAAAGCGAAGTAAAAAAAAGCCAGTTTTATCTTTCTAATATCGTTTAATCAGGCAAAAGACTATTACCCAACACCATAATGCTGCCCATTTGTTAAAGGTCGGTATTTTGAATCGCCAAGATCTGGCCATGAACTGGTGTTAGAGTTAGGGGAAAATTCACTGTCATTGTAATTCTGTAGGGTTTTTTTTTCTTTGGAGTCTCTTACAATTTGTTGTAGCCCCGCCTGTCCTCAGTTTGTCGGGGGTTGTTTCCTTTCCGGCATGAATGTAACCAGTTTTCCTTCCTACCCCATCCCTTCCCACCCTCTTTCCCCCCCTCCCCCAGGATGTCTATGTAGATGAACCCCAGCCCGGAGTGAGTTTTCTCTCCAACCGTAATTTGTTTGGATTTGTTTGCCCTAACATACATTATTCTTGTTGCGTTAAGTCATCTGCTGATTGTTCCAAACAAATATTAACAAGTTGATGAATGACAAACCGACATGTAGCTGAATGAGAAGAAATCTAATGAAAGAAATGCAAATATATTACTACCATTCTTGACGGCATGGGAGAAAAAAATGAAATCAGGTGCATTGCGACTGGTTGATGAGCTGAGAGATGACATCTCTTTGTATTAAAAGGATAGCAAAAGGGTAAAAAGAAAAGAATTTTGAACATGTTCTTCCCGTCGTTTCATTTGAGTCGTTTCATTTGTGTGGAGAATCTATTGATGAAATGAATTCAAACAAAACAAGTAAGGTTTGAAAGGCCCCCCCCGATACACACGCACATAAAAGGGTGGGTGGTACAGACCATCACAAGTCTCCCATGCAGTGTGTCGTATGTTTGAGAATAAGAGTTGGCTTGATACGTCTTACATTTGCTAAATTTACATACTAACTGTTGTTTGTTAAGTCTTAGCCACCCGGAAAGACTTGATTGACGAGCTAACCTTTGTGTATAAGTCCCTTGCATATATACAAATCATCATTTGGGATTACCAAAGTTACTAGTTGATTTCAGCATTACTAGTTGATCATATATCAAATCTTTTATTACTTACACATCCTTTGCCGTTGTGCTTTTACCGCACTGTTTGTATGACAGTTGTTACTGCCGCAAAAATGCTTAATTCAAACTACCCTCGAAATTTTCAACCATTTTGCTTGTTAACCTGTTAAAATCAGAGTGATTGTGATTCTTATTTGACCACATTGGGAGTGAAAATGTTTTTGGCACAACTGTGGGCATGATTTTGTTTTTTTTTTTGTCTGACTCGTAGGAGATCACAACAGAACTTCAGAACTACCAAACGGTGATTGATGCTCTACATACACAAGCAGAGCAGCTCGGTGAACAGGTAAGACGTGTAAGATTAGTAAATGGATGGGCACTCTCAATGTTAGCAGTTCACAAAGTGTAATGTTCCTGTTTCTGACTCGTACTCGTTCCGCTTTTTACATTCTCAGGTTTGTCAGCGTTTTAGGGCCATTTCTTTCTTCTAACCATGTTTCATTTTCCTCATTTTCTGCATTAAACTGCTAAAATTCATTTGCTGCTTCTAACGTCAGGTCATCATCTCTAAAATGAATCCGTCGAGTTCCGTCACCTTGTGTTACTTGGGGTTTTTGACAAACTTGAAACTCATCATTTAAAATAAACGAGCATTAGGTCATTCAGACTTCAGTCTCAAGTCAGATCTTTGAATCTGAAACTCAGTTATTTGTCTGTAACATTGGTCCAGAGCTTTTTTCAGACGTTTTCGTTAACCCTCGTCTTTCAAAATCTGTCAGTTTTAATACAGATTAACACACACAGTACACATTGAATTGCCATAAGTACTTTTTGTAGTTGGTACTGTTAAAAACTACACATCTCAAAGTCCCATCGTGTCTTCCTTCACCAGGACCGGGATTCTCCCGAGGTCCAGGCCCGCCTGGGCACCATCAACCGTCGCTACAAGGAGCTCTTGGAGTTGGCCAAGCTTCGTAAGCAGCGCCTGCTGGATGCCCTGTCCCTCTACAAGCTGTTCAATGAAGCCGACACCGTGGAGGCCTGGATTGATGAAAAGGTAGGCGAAGCTGACATACCATGAGAAAATGCTGCCTTTTTCAATCGAGGAGAGAACTCCTTGAAGCAAGCGTTTTAGAAAATGATAAAGAAGTTTCCTGAGAATATACAAAAGGAAAGTTTACTTTTCAGGCAATGATCTCTCCAAAGTGATTTGCTGAAATTTGTCTGTAAGACTAGGGAGGTATTTTTAAACATATTTTCATCTTGATCCCAATGTTTTTCCCAGTAAATGATATGGCATGAAGGACTCTGTAATACTCTAATTTTAATGTAGTTTTGTGTACTTGCAAAATTGTTGTGTTTAGTGATTTGGACCAGTGAGCAAAACCTTTTTAAACAGGGTGTGGTTATATCCCTCCAAATGATTGAACCCAGGCTCTTACCCCGAGGAAAATGTATCCAGCATTTGTGTGACGGGATTGTGGCAGAGACACTGTGGAGTTTGAAATTGCATAAAGGTTGTTATTCACCTGTGTCATGGTGCTGAGAGACTACTGAAGTTTTTTTCCCCTAATGCCTGATCCCCTAGGAGCAAACGCTACAGTCGGTGGTGCCAATGGAAGACTTGGAGTCCAACGACGTTATCCTGACCCGCTTTGACCGCTTTGAGAAGGAGATGGAGATAAATGCCCCCAAGGTGGCTGTCGTCAACCAGCTGGCCCGCCAGCTGCTGCTTGTGGAGCACCCCAACTCCCAGGAGATCACCAGCAAGCAGAACCACCTCAACCAGCGGTAAGGAGCTTTCGCCCTTGGTGCTCTCTGCAAATATTCAACAATGTCTTGTCAGTCAAAATCACTCTAGTGACTGATTTTAACAGTTGAGAGTCCCCTGTCTATATTAAGCAAAACTTCTATGACTCATGTGCACTTAAGCTCAACAGCATTCTGTGCTTACAGCACTGGATCACCAAAACCAAGTAAGTACAAGTAAGCACAGGAGTCCTTCCTCACAGGATTTATACCTGCGCATTGCCCAAGTAGTCAGGCTAACTCGGTACAGTGCACTTTACTGTTGGCACAGAATTATTTGCTGTAGTTGTGACAGTTGTTTGTGAACTGGTAAGTTAAGCCTCAGTTGAATCTTATCCATTACAGGGCAGTTTGCTGGTAACAAATTGAGCCGCAGCAGGTAACTGTCAGACATTGTTATGTTTTAGGACATTTACCAGTGGTAACAACCAGTGCATTGAACTTTGCTCTTTGACCTCATATTTCTTAACAATTTTCTTACCCTCCTACTTCTGTAGCTGGGCGGCCCTGCGGCGTCTCCTGGAGGAGCGCCGGGACGCCGTTCTCTCGGTCCGCCAGGTTCAGACCTACCACATTGAGTGCATTGAGACCACCACCTGGATCAAGGACAAGGCCCGCCTGATCGAGGCCACTAAAGACCTGGGCAACGACCTGGCGGGCATCATGGCCCTGCAGAGACGCCTCAAGGGCATGGAGGGTGACCTGGCTGCTATCGATGCCAAGGTCAGGCACCATTTCCGGCACCTTAAGAACACCGAGCCCAAATCTCACAGCAACTTACAGCGTTTCTGCTCCTTGCATTTACTTTGGAAGAATCCAGGCAACTGCCTGGTGAAGTTGTTTTGAAATATGATCAAAAAGTAATGTCAGCCTTTTCCTGAAATTTGAGATTTGGAACCTTTGACTTGAGCATTTGCTACTTTGTTAAGGCCATGGAAACATTTGTTTGTGGTAAAAACATGTAAATTATTGTGTTCTTGTTTGCAACATAATCAGAAAGAAACTTTCTGCTGTTTAGTTTTTATCTTCAAATAGCTGAAGCTTATAGTTTTTATGCTATTTATATAGGTATATTTGTGTTTCCCCGCTACAAAAGCACACTTGATCCAATTTTTTGTTTTTACTGTCTACTGATCAACACATCCATGTGTTGTTTTTTTTCTCCCTGACACAGCTGGAATCCTTGGAGAAGGAATCGGATAAGCTGGCTGAGGAGCACCCAGAGGATGCGGAAGAGATCCGACACCGCTTCCAGCTCATCATCGAGATCTGGAAGGAGCTGAAGGAACTGGTCAGTTTGTAACTGTTTGACCTCTGCTCTTCTGCCTTGTCTTTTTTATGTTCCTGCTGGAAGAGGGGAAAAACTTGGCTGAGTGATAATCGCATCTCGAGAAGTATTTAGCAATTTTAGCAGCTGAATTGCTCAATTCTGAGCAGCTGGTTAGCTTAGGTTCTCTTTTTGAAACATTTCAAGGTAGAGGGATGTTCGACTGCTTGGCCTCCTGATACTGTTGTCGAGTGCCTTTTCAAAGAAAGCAAGTCTAGTCTGAGCCAATTTGGCTCATCAGACCGGTGTTTGTCTCTGGTTTCCTTGGCATGAAAGGACTGAGAATATTCTATTCCCCCTGGATGGGATGCCAGTCCGTCGCTGGTAGCTTCCCCAGCTAATGCTGGTACCCATTTATACTCTTGGGTGGAGAGAGGCAACCAGGAGTGAAGAGGCTTGCCAAGGGCCACAACATACTGCCAGCAGCTGGATTCGAACCTCCAACCCTGTGGTTGGAAGCCACAGACCCTAACCACTTGGCCACATGCCCTCTCTTTTCAAAGGAATTCGTCACACAATGCTCTAGTTTAGCTTTGAGGAAATGAACTACCCTTTCTACTTTGGACAAATTTAGTCCTTGTCCAAGTCGAGTTTTAAGACTTAGCCCTGTTGTGTACTACACCCAAACCTTCTTTTTGCTGCTGTCCACAGCTGAAGACACGGGAGGCAGCCCTGAGTGAGGCCGGGGACCTGCAGGAGTTCCTGCGGGACCTGGATGACTTCCAGACCTGGCTGTCCAAGACCATGACGGCCGTGGCCTCGGAGGATATCCCCGAGAGCCTGAAAGAGGCAGAGAAGCTGCTCAACAAGCACGCCGCCATCAAGGATGAGATTGACAGCTATGAGGAGAACTACGCCAAGATGAAGGAGCAGGGCGACCGCATCACCGAGGGCCAGACCGACACACAGTACATGTTCCTCAAACAGGTCAGTGGTTGTAGTCCTTTTGCAGTGGCTCTCACACAGGTCATTTTATAGACTGGGGATACAAAGCAAACTGGAACCAGCAGTGTGGCTTTGCCGTTGAAAAGCCAGGCCATGCTCAGGCAGAGCAATGGCCTGTTGGCCTTTTAATCCCTTGCTTTGGACAGTAGGCTTTCAACTGCCAGACTCTATCCTGGGTGGGGGTTCCCACTGAGTTGATTGAGAGCGCCCGTCCGCTTTCTTGCAATCACCTGCTCACTAAATGGAACCGATTAGTGGTCACAGACTCACGTGAGATAGGCGGAACTTGACTCTAGTCAGGCCATCTAGAGGCCTTACTTTGATTGTTAATGCCTTTTGTTAACACCAAAAGGAAGATGACAGACCTGAGGGCCCAGACATTGCCTGGCCCTGCATTGGCAGAGGCACACCTCTAGTTTCAGTTTGCTTTCCGACTTCACAACAATATGGTCACTAGAAATAAGAGTTTGGCAAAAACTATTCACCTACCAGAATAGCCTGAGGTCAGCTGGCCTGACGTGATGAGTTTAACAGACTCCTTTCGATAAGTGCTGAAGCTTTGTATTGGGTCTTTGAGAAAAACTCCTAGAATTGAAGACTAAGAACCTTTTCACTGATCGTTCAATTTATCTACTGATTTAATCTTTTATTTTGCTGTCTTCTTATATGTTTCTGTCAACACTTTCTGTGCACTATTTTTCCTGAGCATCACTCTGTCAAAAATGGCACCTGAATTGGTAGTCGAATTTCTTGATTTCTAACAGAAATAATAAATACCTGACCAAATGTTCTTGTAAAAAATAATATTCAGAAGTTTATTTCCTATCATTTTAAATGTGAGTTTTTCTAATGAAATGTCTAGAACTTTCAAGTGGAGAATTGTCATTGAGGTGATTCTTATAGTTGTAGAAATGGACAGCTTGGAGAGATGTTCTTCTGAAATCTTGGTTGGATTTCTTGTGTCTCTGTTTTGTACAGCGTCTTCAAGCCTTGGATGATGGCTGGATTGAGCTGCACCAGATGTGGGACAACCGACAGCTACTGCTGTCCCAGGCTCTCAACCACCAGATGTTCCTGCGCGATGCCCGGCAGGCCGACCACCTGCTCAACCAGCAAGAGAGCTTCCTGGCCAAGGTGGAGCAGCCCGTAAGTACTGTCAAGTCAACAAGCGTTGGAGTTGCTTAACTTCAACTTTGACAAAGTTGCACTCGCTTTTTTAAGTTGTTTGTAGCTTCTAAAATGCATCTGGGCCTGATCTTACAGAGTTCCTAAGCACAAAAATTGGCTAGGGAAATAAATATCTGCTTAAAAAATACAGGTTAGCAGCCACAAATCATTCAATGTATAGTGCGAAAGAGCTCAGTGGGTAGAGCACCAGTATGGTGTTTAGAGTGTTGTAGGTTCCAGTCCGGCTCAAGTTAATTTCTTGTTCATCTTTATAATTACAATATATGTCTGTCATGGAGACACCTCCACAACAGCATATTTTCATGTTTGCGCTGACTTTAAGAGCAAATTAGGACTTGCAAAACCCGTAAAAGGTTTTGTTTTATTCCATTTTGTCATACATTTTCCAGTCAGGTCCAAATGTTAACTTTTTGTCTTGTTCCCTGTTACTCCTCATCCAGAATTCCTTGGAGGCATGCGATGATGCCATCAAGCGCTATGAGACCTTCCTCACCCAGATGGACACCAACGACGAGAAGATCAACAGCGTGCTCAGCTTCGGCCAACGCCTGTGCGACGAGAATCACTACGCCGCTGACAAGATCAACAAGAAGGCGGAAAATATTGATGAGAGGTGAGAAGACGTATGCCTTCCTATGTGTTAGCTGGTGCTTCAGTTTTCTTGAGATGGTTCCATGTGTCGTGTGAAATGGATGAAAGTATCCTAGGACAGGTTGTTGCTGTAATGTCATTTAGAGAAGACACTGCGTGTAATAGATTTTCTGTTCAAATTGTGAACTCAAAGGTTCCTCACCAAAAATATTTCTGGGAAAGAGTTGCTAATCGGCTTAATTCCATGTACTTACACCACTATGAATCGCTGAAAAAGTGATAATTTAGGCCGGCACAACATTTAAAAGATTTCAAGAGGGTTTCGGCACAAGTCTATGTAGCATTGAGGTTTTCTGCCAGATTGACCTCACAGGGTTGCTCGTGACTGTAAAAATTTACAATCATTAAAACTAAACAGGCACCTAACACCTTTTAAACCAACAAAAACATTGACACACAAAAGTGCAATTTCAAAAGCTGCATTAAAAAAATTGCACTGTGTAGACACTAACCCTCCGATAATGAAATCTTTGCTCAAGACCCATTCACTTGTATAGAATACTTGAGAATGAGTGTTAATCAAGATTACTGGAGCTTGCTGAAGGTGTGTTGCCCAAGGGACACAGATTAAGTCAGTGGTCCACGTCTTCTTGTCGGCACTCTGCAGGCGCAAGGCCAACCGCGAGGCCGCAGAGGCCACCCTGAACCGCCTCAAGGACAACCGGCTGCTGCAGTCCTTCCTGCAGGAGGCGGACGAGCTGGGCATCTTTCTGGTGGAGAAGACGGTGGTGGCCCAGGAGGAGACCTACGACGAGGCCCGCAGCCTGCACGGCAAGTGGCAGAAGCACCAGGCCTTTGAGGCGGAGCTGTCTGCCAACAAGGACCGGCTGGAGAAACTCAAGGAGGTCGGTACCGAGGCAGGGGGAGCAGCAAGAATTTATGATCATCTTTACTTGGAAATAGGATACTCCTCTGTACTTGACCACACCACTGATCATTGGTTGACCACTGTGGGGGAAATATAGACAGTATTTGACGGTCACTGGCTTCTGCTATGAACTTGGCCCAAGTGATGGCAATACTTCAAGCCCTTTGCGAGGTCTTGACACTGACACTTGGTAGCTGTTTATAATTGTGGCCAACTTAAGAAATGATTTGCACGTCACTAAAGTCTTTTTTGAGTGAAAGGCCTTCACAAGAAGCTTTTGCTGTGGGAACTCTCGGCATTTTTCATATTTTATTGTCCATTTTTCATCAGGATACCAAAGTGATTGATACATCAATACAAAGGGCTCAATTTGCTGCTGTGTGATCAGTGCGATCTGAAAATTGCTGAAGAGTGACTTCAAGACGACTCATGTGGGATTTTGTCCCGCACTTTAGTCACTGACTTCAGAATTAGCCAAACTCAATTACACTTGACACTCTAGTCCAAATGATAGGTTCATCAAAGTTTTTGATGCCACAGTGCGCAGTCACAATATCTAAGAAAGATTGTCAAGGTTTCTGTCACATTGACTTCTTTTTATATTGTTACAATGTGCCATACAATTGAGCTTAAGTCTTTTATCTATTTTTTACCGAAGCTCATTTTTAGAGCCACGCCTGAGGTTGTCATTGCTATCACGGGAGTATACGGCAAATTTTTTTTCACAAGGGCCTGAATGGCCATTAATTTCTTTTTGTATAGTTCTGAGCACATATCGTTGAGCTGATATTGTGTATTATTACTAGGATTGTCAGAGTCTTAAGAATATGAATCGTGTAATTGTTCTCCCAGCATGGAGACCGGTTAGTCAAGGAGAAGCCCGAGGTGGAGGAGGTGGTGACCAAGCGTCTGGCCGACCTAGACCACTCCTGGAAGGACCTGGATGAGATGACAGACGTCAAAGGCAAGAAGCTTTTCCAGGCCAACAGCCAGCACCTCTTCAACGAGAGCTGTAACGACTTTGACAACTGGTTGACTGACCTGGAGACGCAGCTGACCCATGAGGAGCCCACGCAGGACCTGAAGTCGGTCATGATGGCCATCAAGCAACAGCAGGTAGGCGTGATGGACTGTAGGCAACAAAACCCTAACCCTACAACCCAGGAGAATGTCAGTCCTTGTAACCCAAGGGAATCTCTTTTTCGAAAGTCTGACCTGATAACTGAGGGTTGTGTATTTGAAAAGTGATTTCATTTTTTCCCCCAGTGGCTCTTAACCTGCTTAATTCATCAATATGCAAGAGCCAGCAATTTCTCTGGGAGTCTGTTAATCTTAGCATTGAGCAAATTATCACATGCATTTATTCTTTTCTGGATTATGTTGATTCAGAAGAGAGATGGAATGGCTTGAGGCTGACATTTCCAGTTGATATGAAGGCTTCACCTAAGAGAAGCGAAGACTAGACACTGCTGTGCTGCTTTGCACAATGACAGACTTAATTTGTAGGACGAGTGTCTTGCGGATTTGCACACTCTTATTTTTTGCCACAAAGAGGTTTGAAGTAACGAAACCTTTTGTCCCCGCAGATGGTTGAGAACCTGGTGACAGCCAAGAAAGCAGAGGTCAACCAGCTGCAGGCCCAGGTCTGCACGGATGACGTGCTGGAGATGGAGAAGATCACCGTCAAGAAGGTGCAGGTAGAGGAGCGCTTTAATTCCATGAGCGAGCCCCTGACACAACGAAGCAACGTTCTGCATGCCCAGCGCAGAGGGCTGGAGCTCCTCAGGGACATCGATGAAGAAAAGGTAGGCTCTCGGAAGGTCTGATGAGACAGGTGGTCTCTGTGCTGTAGTGATGTGCATATCTCATTCACATGGATTTACTAGTCACTGTTATAAACAGTAAACTCCGGCTAAAGTCGGCACTCTCGGGACTCAAGAAATTATGACGACTTACGCAAATGCCGACTTGTGCTTTAAGTTGTCATTTTGCTGACTTACACGTACACAAGTACATGTATTGCCAATGTACATTATAATTCCGTGCACTAATTCAATGGCTTTGATTTACCCTGGTTTATTTCTACCTCCATGGTGGATCTCAGCAAATTCGGTCTTGATTATTATCCTCACGGGCTGCAAATTCGATAATTGATCATGTGCCCTTAAGGACGGAGCAAGGACGGCAAGCCACTTGCATATCACATCACGACTCGACAATGCTGGACGTACATATACGTGATACACTGATAAACATACACTCATCCGCACACGCATTGGTTAAGTTCGTTCAATAAGGTGACCCCTAAAATGGACAGAGTGCATGCATCTAGCACTAGAGGGGTTACTGGTATTTGATGTACTCATGCTGGCCGATTATCAACCACGGCCTGTGCTGCTAATAAACAGACATCAGTCAGGCAGTGTGGGACTTGTCACTTAACACTTCTTGGCAACCGCGACAAAGGAAACTGATACTGATGCACGATTTTTTTTTTAATGCCGACTTACACAAAGGAATTTTTGTGGTATTGTGGAAAAGGGGCCAAGAAAAGCATGCCCACTTATACGAAATGACGACTTATAAATGCCGACTTACAAAATGAAATTTTCATTGGAAATGCATTATAGACGTTCAGGACTTATGTAAAAAGTCCAACTTAGACGATTGACGAGTTAAGCAATGCCGACTTAGTTGGAGTTTACTGTAGTTATAGCCCACTCATTGTGTACTATAACTTCACTTTCCTTTATTCTTCTCAGTCCCTCAATAGGAAGTCATAGTCCTCCAGGTCTATTTTGCCTATGTATCTACTCCAACATCAATTTCTTCATTTACATTATTTACAGCACTTGGTTCACCTTCCAATGATAACCGGAAGATTAGTACTGGTTACTTCCTGCGTTTCTTTAAAATACCCAACTTGTTCATGTCAAGCAGTCGTTATTTCAGATCTTTTGTTTTTACTTTGAATGTCTTCGTGATTCTGTCCCAACAACTGATGACATATTGCATGCTTCCTCAAATTAGTGGGATCTGTTCAAACATACTAGTGGGCATAACCTTGAGGATGCAGGACACTTGAAAAATGACTGACAGTAGCGTCAGCCTCACATTAAACTTTTTATTCAACTGAAGGGTCGATGTTAAACACACAGACCGTATTAGTACAAGGAAATTGTTATTGCTCGCTCTTTGCAGATGTGGATCCAGCTGAAGATGCCCCAGGCCACCTCCAACGACATCGGCAACAGCCTGCAGGCCGTCCAGACCCTGCAGAAGAAGAACAACTCCCTCAAGACGGAGATCGACGGCCACGAGTTGCGCATCACAGAGCTGTGCACCCGGGCCAACACCATGGTGGAGGAGGGCCACCCGCAGAGTGAGAAGATCCAGACGGGCATCCAGGAGCTGCAGGACATGTGGCAGCAGCTGCTGGATGCCATGAAGGACCGCAAGGCCAAGCTGATCGACTCGGAGAAAGCTCAAGAGGTGAGTTCTAGTCCCCTTCCCTCTCCTCCCCGTTTCCACCGCTCTCCCGGCCTACGTTTCATTTTCTTTAGAACTGGCGAATCAACCATTGTTGCATCCTGACCAGTCACATGAGAGGTTAACCTCTGGCTCCTCTAAATCCATCGGCATCCAAGAGTGAGACTCTTGCAGAACTTGAATTATGTTTGACTCTTTGTTCCCTTCACTTTCTTAGTCCGTGAAATAGGTCCAAGTGTTCCTTATTGTCCCATAGGCAAGCATATTGACTATGAAAGCAGTAAAGGTCTTTGGATCACTTTGGAAGGGTTTTTGACTTGTCTACACTGGGTTCACTGGTTGACTGGGTATAAGGGTCATTCTATAAATTTGGGGTCCAAAAGTGTGACCAACTTGGTGTCCCTGTTACACCCGACCTGTGGAAGGTGACTTGAAAATATCATTAAAATTGACTTTACGCTGAATTTATCTGTTTAGCAGGTATTTTGCATTACTGAATCACTCGTAGAAATTAAAGATTCCAAACTTGCAGAGTTTTTTGTCAGATGTGACGGGGACATGACAAAAATTGGACCCCAAATTTATAGAATGACCCATTACTGTAAACTTTGCTTGAAGTGCTGGATACATTACCTTAAGTGCGTACACTGCTGTCTTCGGCTGACCTCATTGTGTCAACTTCCTCTCCTAGTACTACTTCAACGCAGCTGAGGCAGAAGCCTGGATGAGTGAGCAGGAGCTGTACATGATGGCAGAGGAGCGGGCCAAAGATGACGCCAAAGCCCACAGCATGCTCAAGAAGCACCAGATCCTGGAGTCGGCTGTGGAGGACTACGCAGAGACTATCAACGAGCTGTCGCACGAGGCCAAGCAGCTGGTGGATGAGAACCACCCACAGAGGTCAGTCGGAAGATGAGGGATGGTTGTCAAATTTTCCGGCTACGACTTTGACTCATGACCTTGGCATGCTGCTTCGAGTATCAGGCATAGACATGACCTGGGTAAAACAAAGAAAGCATGTAAAGATCTGCCCAGCCACCACCTTTTTGTGTTCTGTCTCCAGGCTTGAGCCATCCTAGGGCTGAGCTAGCTTTTTTGACATTGCTTTGACCTTAGCTCCTCTAGTAATAGGAGTATACCTCTAAAATAGTGGTGGTATGACTTCCAATCAGCAATTTGCCAGTGTATATTTGTATTCCTTTTCACACGTTGCATGGCAAAAATTATAAGCTGTCGTGGCAGGCAGGGTAAATGCATCAATTTAACCTTAAACCCCCTAGGATGTATGTAAAATCATATTGAAATTGGAGGATTTGGGACTGTGAGGGTTTTAATTTACAGCACAAGCACATGGAGAAAGCATTGCTCATAGTTTTTATACCTAAATGTGACATGCAAGTAGAATGGCAGTGAAATGCTTTCCTCCAGCTTACTTTGGACATACCTCTGAGACATATCAAAGTGTCTCCTCAAGGAAACATGGGCTGGGACTCTCAGGATTTGTAGCTGTTGTGCCACAGTGTGGAAAGTATCACAGCCAGAAACTGACCGAGTTTCGGTCTGGTTGCAGTGACCAGATAGCCATCCGTCAGTCCCAGATTGACAAGCTGTACGCCGGCCTGAAGGACCTGGCCGAGGAGAGACGAGGCCGCCTGGACGAGACCACCAAGCTCTTCCAGCTAAACCGAGAGGTGGACGACCTGGAGCAGTGGATCGCGGAGAGAGAAGTGGTGGCCGGCTCACACGAGCTCGGACAGGACTTCGAGCACGTCACGGTGAGCACATGGTTTGGGAACTTCTGCTTTTGGGCCTGTCTGGCATGTGCCTGTCACTACATTTCTCTTCAACTGCAGTTCACTAGGATGCGTGAACAATTTAGATTGAATCACAGGGCTTAAGAACTTGTCAGGTTAAAAGATTATTGCTTTCAGTGAATTTTGTCCTCAGTAAATAGAGTACGGAATTGTATGGCTGTTTTGCGACACCTGTGTGATTTCCCTATCATACTGGAATTCAAGCCATACTTGATAAACCCGGTATCACTCCAGTGGATTTTATTTTCTCAACAGGAGACTATTAAACTTTTTTTTTCAGCTAAAAATGTTACAGATTATTGTAAAGAATTATTGTTTATCGTAATAAATAACTTGTCAAGTTATGTGTGGTAATTCTGCATACCAATACATGGTATGAC